GGTAAACCCCCCCTCGGACCCCCCCCCTCGAGCCAGCGCGTGGTCTGCTAAGTCGTAATATATGTACTGTATTTTTAACAAAACCATTTGGGCTGTCTCCTGTCATGCGCCCACCTACCACGAGCATAATGTTTTCGTTGTTCTGCCCCGTATGCATATCAACATGCGTATGTACTTCATGGTAGGCGTTAGGGCGTCTGCTAAGAACCGGGTCCGTGTTTCTTTCGGCTCTGTGCAACATCGACGACGCTCTAGTAGTAGATGTTGCACCGTTCGCGACAAGGGGCTCTATTTTTGTACGGTTATTATGGTTACGTACGCATATTTCCCTGCCGGTCGGTGTTTCTTCCTGTAAAAGAGAATATTGTGCGGACAGGGTGTCAACGTTTGTACAGAGGAGGGAACAAAGACTTGGACACGAAAGATAACGAGTGCAACCAACAGACCACCGGACAGAGCTCAAGGGTCGATTATGGTGTCCGTGTGCAGCTTCCTCGCAGCAGCGCTGTTTTCTTGTTGTGCTGTTGTGTGAAGCGCAATACGAGGACGTACTTCGAAAATGCTGTTGCGCAGCACGCCATTATTAATTATTCTGCGGCGGCGTAATGGTGGTAATGTCTACGCTAAAGCGGCAGTCTCGTGGCGATACTTGCTGTGATTTGCTCGTCGTGCGTCTAGACACTTCTACTTCACCAACGGAAGCATGTCCATGGCTTCCATGTAGACTTTTATGCTTGCACGTGCAGGCTTCCCTCCTGGGCTAGTTACACTTGAATCATGGAACATAGAACCCGGCCGTGCATAGCGCATGTACTGCCCGAAGATTTTTTCTTCTGGTGACCCTCAATCTGCAGCAGCAGCGTATTCTACAGCAGTAGTCTATGCTCACACCGGGCGCATGCGCTGTCGCTTTATCTCATGGAAGCACCTGTGTGCAATCAGAAAGGCGGGGAGCAGAACAGCGGAGTCCGCCGCTCCCACAAGAGTTGACAGCGAATGGGTCCTGCTCGAAAGTCCCCCACACTACATCTACAGCAAGTATCCCGTTCGTGCATAATAATAAAACACGCGCCTAAAAGTTCGCATTTTCGCATAACACAGAACCTGCACCCCGTGTCCCGTTGGCTACCTCACCTCATGGACCACGAACGAGCCAACCCCGACATTTCACGTACCTGGAAAATGAAAACTATCTGCTGCGAATCCCTCCAGCAATCTCCCAGCTGTCTTCGCGCCTCTGTCTGTGTAAAGCTGGCTGGTGCAATGATGTGTGTGCCAGCATCAGATTTGACAGCGGTAGTGTTCACAAATGGTATTTTTTTTTTTTGTCTTCACTTCAAATCAGCGCTCACGGTACGAGTGCGGTCTTACTATCAGCGAGTTGTCATATAGCATCGGTGTTTACACATTGATCGTAGATCCTTAGGACTAACGCGTTCTGATTGGTCGGGCGTTGTCGTCGCTGGTTCTGGGGGCCGATTCCTCTCCAGCGCCCTCTCCCCGTTCCGCGTTCGGAGCACGCGGCGAAACCGCGTGCCGCCTAGCTCGCGGCCGCTAGGCCGTGCTTTGACCGTGGGTGAGGGTTAGGGTTAGGGTTAGGGTTATGGTAAGGGTACATGTGGCGTGAGCAACCTAGCCTTGGTCGCATGAAGAAGCTAGCCTTGCTACGTTCAACATCAAGAGTTACTATCAAAGTATAATCAAAGCCCAGATTTGATGGGC